TGTGTGTGTGTGTGTGTGTGTGTGTGTGTGTGTGTGTGTGTGTGTGTTGTATCTGTGTTAGTGCTGTTGCAGCGGGTTTCTTTGTGTTGCCACGCCATTCTTAGCCAAGATTACATTCCTGCAGGGCAGAGGGCGGGTAGATACCTCTTATTTATCTCTCCCGCGGTCTGTGTCCCTCTCTTGTCTTTCCTCTCATTTTTGCTGATCATATTTTGACAGCATGTTTATGTTCAGCGGTAAGATGGAAGTGCAGGAAGGTTAGACAACACAGATTGTTGGACAGACCTGTATGTGGGGTAAATATTAGCCGCGTTTCTAGTCGTCGGTGGCTTTATTTTATGATTTCAAACAAATTATCCAGCCAATCTCAGTGAAATCAACATGTTCTGTGTGTGTGTGAGTGTGAAAGCATATGGTTATGAGTACAGAAGGCTAATGTTTCACACACTGCATTAAAAGACACACTGCACATGGCCACGTGGAGGCAACAGTTGTAATTTTTTTGGCCATTGACAAACTAATAAAACCCAGAGCAACAATAGCACAATTTATAATATGCATGTCTTAAATGTTTTTTCAAGAGGCTTCTTCTTTTGAAAATAAACTTCCTGTCTTCACAGGAAGTTAGGTTTAGGCAACAAAACCACTTGTTAGGTTTAGTAATAGAGCGTATAGTGGACTGACCACCCGCCCTGGGTGGACTCTCACTCTTTATCTCGCTATTTCTGACCATCTAATAATAATCCTGGTGGGTTTTCATTGGACTCAGTGGAAAGCCCAGGCGGGGCATTGACCAAGCGTCGGTAATGGATGAGTTGGTGAGCGAGAGGTGGTTTGTCGGCACAACAGCCGCAGAATGTACAAGCCCGAAGACACCTGTGCGCAGTGTAATAGTGTCAGAATCTGACCAAGACAGATGTGTTTTCAGGATGAAGGTTTTTAGTCACACGTGTGATCAGCAGTGTTTGTTATCAGTAGCGCTGTGCTAATCTCAAGTCCGGGTACTGCAGTGAAGCTGTAGTTCAGACAGACACTGGTTCCTGGGTCCATACGGGTTCGTCTCCTCTGCAGTCAGCGCATAGGGATCTCCCTAATTCGATTTTTAATTGGATATCTGTGTGGGCATCCACAGTGA